ACCCCCCACCACCAAAAAAAACAGGTTTGCTTTGTTGCCCCCCTTCCCAGCAGCCCATAGTCCCCTATCCTTCACTCCCCCGAAGTGAAGTGAGGATGGTATTTAGCCCCCATTCAAACCTCTGTGATACAACATCACAGAGGTGCCCCAGGGTGCGTTGTGGCATGATGCGGTAGGGAAGCCCATCCCATTCGTTTTGAATAGGCCACCAGGTGCCCCACCCCAGGTGCGCACCTGGTGGCCAGAATAGGTGCCCCAGGGTGCGTTGTGGCATGATGCGGTAGGGCAGCCCATCCCATTCGTTTGAATAGGCCACCTACCGTAGCTAAATTGCAGGCAGAGACATCCAGGTATTTTTTTTATTTTTATCGCATTGCACCACATCACATGGTAATAAGTGATCATGCAAAGTGGTGTGAAACGACGCACATGCGATGGCTAGGTGCGTTGGGTGCCATTTAGAAATAATGCCACTGCAGCGCACCTATCATGCCATGCGGGATCACTTGCGGCATTGCACGCACTGCTGCATCGCAAAGATGTCAACGGAGCCTGAAATACATAAAAACTGAACTCCTCTATTTTACCCTATGTGGATGGAACTGTGTGGCCAAAGTCATAGGGGTGGCATGTTAAAAAATGTACTGCGGATCTAATAATATTAAAATCTGGCCCTAATATAGAAGCTCGGCAGGTCTCTGACACCAGTAGATCACTGTTATTAGTGTGTAATCAGTTAACTTGCTTTATGCAAATTTGCTGGTTGCTTTACTTTAATCAGTAATCCCAGAATGTAATGTTTGTTGTTGGAAAAGACTCACCCTTGTGACATTGCCTCCACCCGTCACAGATCAACCCCGTTCTTGTACCAGTCACAGTGCAGGTCAGGTTAAGTGTGTCACAAGCAGAAAGGCAGTGAGCAGGATTCTATAACACCTCTACTCTGGTTACATATGGAAAATAGAGTAAACAAAATAAATCTACAGCATAGGACTTCATAATCCCATGCCTGTTCCTCCTAGGGACAAAGAAATACAAAGATCTGTGTGCAAACATCTTCCTGTGCAAACAGCTGAGCTTCAATATCTTACAGCAAATAACCTGACACACTTCATGAGAACGTCCTCATGGTGGCAGAAACTGGTGTGATTTAAATTATAGTGACTTGGGTAGTGAATCCTTCTCTGGACCAGGGAACATTAATCCTCAGAACATAATAATGGGACAGAATAGTCCAGAGAGTACTAATGATTGTGACATAAGGGGTGAGGCTCTTCCTAGGACCAGAACCAGAACGTAACAATATAACAATGACAGCAACACAATAATGGATCAGTCCTTCCTAGGGTATAAGTATAATAATAAGTCACTTGATAATGAGCCATTCCTTCCTATAGGATTAGAGAGTAATAATTGCAGTGACCTGGTGTTGGGTCATGGGTAGAATGTGTCACCAGCACACCATGAAACTTATTTCCAAAGTTGAATCATTTTATATAAAGATCACATCAAAGTGCAACTTTTAGGAGCCGTGCAGGACCCCTTTTTATCATCATATGCCTGAAGTGGTCCTGCGTAGCTCCAAAATGTTTCATTAAGATGTGATTCAGTGGCGTCACAAGGTGGGTGCAGCCTGCATCCGGGTGACACCATTGGAGGGGGTGACACCAAAATGACTCAGTCATTTTGGTGTCATCCCCATTAAAAAGTCGGGCACTTGGTCATGGACCGAGAGCCCAACAGTGTCGGGAGTGAGGAGGGGATCCGGCGGCATACCTCATCCCGGCGGGTGAACATCCACTCCTCTCTCTGCCGACATCAATTAGGTGACCGTGCATGCGTGATATGATGTCACGTGCATGTCCGATGACGTCACTGCGGGTGTGACCCGGTCCCCACTCCGGGGGACACCCCTGATGCGATTTTTGCACTTTGATGTTATTTTTGAAATACACTTGAACTTTTTTGATGCCTTCAAATGTGTGCTAGTGACCCATTCTACTTCTAACATGTCTTATGCCAATATCAGTGCGGAGTCACTAAAGCACCCTAACCCTACATGGTCAATTCCAATGTGAAATGGGTATATTTGATGAGTCTGGTAATCAGTCAACCTTTCAATGGTGACATGTACGGATCGTTTCCCTAA